CCGAGGGAAACCTGGTGGTGTATTCTCACTCGCTACTCGACAATGTTATTATTACGCTCCCTCGTCCGCATTACGCGGATAATTTATGTCGGTCTTTACGTATAGCGTAACGCGCGCAACTTGTCCTTTTCACGTGTATATGCACATCCGTGCGCGCGTAATAAATGCATATAATACTCACCCATCGCTGTAATCATTCACTCGCGTGATAAACACTCGGATGTTCCAGCAACCCTCCGCTTTCTTCCATGCGCAGCCAGGAGAACCACGCGGAATGACTCGCATTAGATTCGCGTTTCGCTCTTCCAGCCTCTTTCAGCCTCTTCCAGCCTCTTTCCAATTCGACGCACAGGTCCGTTAACGCGTTCCTCGCTTCTCACCGTGGCAATCTGGAATTCACAACGAGAACCGTGATTATCGATAATCGTTCCAAACGAGAAAATCATCCGATCGTCAATCGATATCCGCGATATTTTAATCCGTCTCGGAAATTAAAATTTCCGGACAATATCTTCCCGGAACAATCCCGAGACAGGACACGCATTAAGAAATCATCGAGCGGACGAGTTCACCAAACTCACCGTTTGCCGAAGGAAGTCGACGTAATGGAATTCATTGTTATTCGAGTCCTTATCCCGAGTTTACCTATCATTACCCGGCATCATGTACGCAGCACGACTACGAGTAAGGATAATTAAAATTCTTCCGGCGTAGCGGACCCGTGAAACGAGCCTTTTCCACCTTTCGTTTATATCCGTTCTCCCTTTGATCCACTTCGCACGAGCGAATTCATTCTACTCGTTCCGCCGGCCCAACTATACACACGCGCCGCGTCTATTTGCGGCCGGCACAATAATTCTTATCCGCGGAGCAGCCGTGCCGGCACCACGCGATATTATTTCATGTGCCTAGGCGTCAACAGGATCGTAAATAGCAGCGTCAGACGTCCAACACCCTCGTCGTTTCCATCGACTCTATACCGCGCAGCGAGTCGCCGATGGGAATCGACGCCCAACCCCTCCCGCATGCCGCGAATACGGTAAACACCACGACGACCGGGCAAGTACGCGGCACGTCATGCGAATTCCGCGTTAAACGGACTCTGGATTTATAAATATTTATATCCTTCACGGACGAAAGGTAAACGCGGCTACACCCGGCGCTGCGAATTTTCTATGTCCCCTTGGTATTTAACCGTTCCGGTAATACGCTCCCGGCTGCTTTATTTTCCCATTTACCGCGGCTTTCCGCGAAATTCCCGTTGACATTTATACATAGAGAAACGCGCGATTATGAAGCGCCTATAGAAATTTATTCGTTTTCGTTATCGAGGTTTAATTATCGCGGCGCACCCGCCGGGTTGTTTAAGCTTCGCGCCTAAAATTGCTTTTTAAGAATTTCGCCAAGGATTCGTTGTACGAGAAAACGCTGTGAATGGAAGTTGTTCGGTAGTTAGGGGGATATGCAATGCGATGGTTGGCTTTTTGTCGCCCCGTCTTTTCATCGGAATATGCAACGCTTCGTGTTGAACCTGTGTTGTCATGGTTGGTCGAGTGAATCGGAAGGAATGGAAAAATTAATTATACGCGTGTCACGAAAGGAGTGGAGATTTTTTAAAATAAATTTCAAGCAAATACGGAATGATCGGGAATGATCCTTTATACCGGGATAAGCTTCGCGGTTCGATGCACGTTAAAGCGTATCGCAACTGAAAATCTCAAGAGAACCTGCGAATAAAAAATTAATTATTACATCGTGCGATGATAATTTATTCGCGAAACCCTTTCATCCAACGAGCAGTTTACAAGTATGTAATTTCAAGTTTAACAACCCACTCACCCCATATATAGTACATTTAATTACGTATTACGGCTCGGTAGCTCCCCGAGGCTCGTTAAACAAAAGGTATATTAGAGAAATATTTCGAGCCTGTTTCGTTAACGAATTAACCAAATTGTACGAACGCGTTGCGAAGCTTACCATGATCAATCGCGGGTAAATTGAGGATGGCCGAGCGGAAGGGTCGTAGAGCGAGGATTTTTCCAGCGGAAAGCGCGCGCGTTTCTCAGCCAATCCAACTCCGTCTGGCAAGAACCGCGAGAGCTAACCGGTGCTTTTCGTAGCTGTATAATTCGCCCGTGTTGAATGTAAATTTATCCCCCCCGAGGGGTTACGCTGTCCTCGTCTACGGCACCGTGCTCGCGTGACTATGACCACGGCCACGAGCGAATTTATACTGAAACCACCAAAACGTGACAACGAGCGGGAAACGTTGCTGACGACTGGCCGAGGAGAGGGTACCAGGGACGGGACGAGTCTTAAATTCACATTAAACATTCATCGGGATAGAGCTCGCTGACAGCAGGCCGATGGAACGGAGATACGAGCATTCCTGATCGAGCTAATGCGATACTGAAAACTGGTCGAGGTCTTTCGAGCTGTCGGACTCTTTCTTTTGTTCGGCTTCCCTCTAACCTCGTGCTAGCGCTCGTTTTCACTGGGCTCGATCAAAAAATTCTCTACCCATCGGCCAGTAAAAATCGCCCTCGTCGAAGATGTATTTATCCAATGGTACCTTTTCCAATGGTGACCAGCTTTTTTGGCACCCTAACCGCGGAAATGAAGCGGTAAAACAAATATTAACTCTTTGCACTCCAGAGGTGACCGTTTGTTTTAATACTATAACTTAATAACGAACGATGATAAGTATATTAAGAACATCGAAATAAAATTATTCTATTCCTTCGTTTCTCGCGCAAATTCACGATTTTCTTTTTTTAATTTTAACATAAAGAGTATCGGTGAGCTTATAAAAATCTAGGAAGAGCTTCGAATTGCATCTTCACAACGAAAAAATCTTCGAGGGCAAAGAGTTAATGTTGTTAATCCTTGAAATACCGTTTCCGTGGTATTATTACTCATCAGGGAAAACCATATTGCCGACTCCGTAGTCAGGTAAAACACGATGACACCTTCACGCTTGATCATTATATACGCCAAGTACCTGAAGTATTGGGCAATAATTGTATCTTAAATTATACCTCAAATTTGGAAACTTCGTCCAATTAAAAATTACATAGCCCTAACAAAGGTCTGCATAAATGCTACACCTATTTTCTCGTAGAATATAAATGTAGCAAGATAGCAAGATAGAGACATAGTCCACTTACTATTTCGAAGTCAAACACAATATCCTCGAGGAACCTTTCGTTATTAATCGTCGTCAAGCAAGACCGACTTAGTGACGATATACAAATATCTACGAATGGTTGTAGATAACACTGAAGACACTGATCGTCGAAGAAAAATTTTAGTATAGAGACATGGAAAGTCGATGTATTTATTTTACATTGAAATAGTCCCATTTCGCGATGATGCATCGAAGTAAGAAGAGCGCTAGTTTTATTATAAAGGAGGTTGTAGACGATGATCATGGAAAGAAGATTCAACGGTAAAGACACGGAATGTTAGGGAATTTTTCAATTGACCGTTCTAAAAGCGAGTACAAAGGGTAGCAGACCTTTCGGCTGCCCTTTATCTCAACGATGTTTCACGGGAAAATGGAAATCGAAGAGCCAACCGAATAGAGGTCTCCTTCGGAATAACGGTATCAAAAATTGCCATCCCCTCGTGAATTTATCCATGCACGATGCCCAGAGTGTAATTGATAAACATCGATATTTCAGCGAAACTGCCAAACAACTTGCAATCCCTTTTGCATGCCCGCATGTTTGAAGCTATTGATTTCGATAGCATCCCACGTCAAAATCACTGGCAATCTCGACACAAACGCGTTGATATAAATGTTTCCTCGAAATCGGCGTATCGCACAACGAAGCAAGCGTAGCTTCGTCAAAATATCTTGGATATCTCGGCCTGGTAATTATTTCGAAATTAAGCTTCGATATTAGCTCCGGGGCGATTCTTCCGAGTCTTAATAAAAGGGTAACCACAGCATGCGCGAGGATACGAGTGCGATTCTCGATATGACTGGAAGGATAAGTGTTAAGGGGTTATAACGCAAAGGAATAGTCAGTGGAAACGGTGGAAAAACTGTATAGATCTTTATTAAACGGGCGAACGGTTAGAACTGATCTGTTTAGGGCCACGTAGGTCACAGGACGTCTCTAGAAAACGGGAGACAAAAGACAAAACGCAGGGGAAGGGATCACCCCCACATCGCTAGGATCTAGAGTTTACTTTACTATTTAGTTTTTACTGCAACAACAAGGAACGACGTGGTTTATCTCGGATATCTCGTCGAAATTTCCGCGAGACTCTATGTACTCTCGTGCTAATTATTTTCGAATTACGCTTCGACACTGGCTAGGAAGCAATTATGCCGGGTCGTAACAAAACGGGTCGGTAACCAGAGCTCGGGTGAAAGTATGAGCGAGCGTAATTGTTGATATGGCCGAACGGATAAGAAACGGCGCGGTTCATATATTATTCGCAGCACAGGCGCGCTCAGAAGCGATCCACCACTGGTAACGCTCACGTCCATGACGACCGAAGCGTGTAATGACGAGACGCGAGCTATCATAAGAGTGTAATATCAAGGCGGGATACGTGGCGACAAATATCACGTGCAGCAGGCACAAAGAACTCGAGAGAGACGAGCAAAACGGGCCACAGCCTTCAGATGGATAAACTCGTTGCACAGATCGTTTAGCCATCGCCCGCGGCTTTTTCTGATTGCTTCTCTGCCTTCTTCAGCCGTGATATTATACCGAGCAATTGAATTTCTTACACCCCACTAAGTACTCTACGCTCCCACCGTTCCCTGTCCTCGCTCCTTCCCAAGCTCTCTCGTTCCCTCTTTCGCGCGCCCCTTTCCCGAGAGTTACACCCGTTGAATTTAAGCAATCGAAATTTTAGAGCCGGTGTCGATATCCAGCCACGCAAACGAGAATTGCGAGTAATTTCCAGAGCGATCAGCAGAAAATAAAAGTCGCGGCTTAACCCCCGGTCCTAAGGTCCTCCATCTTATTACCCTCCTTAAAAGCTGATCTGCGCGATGGAGACGTAGTCAGGTTACTTAACAGCTTCATCCACGCACGATGAATATGTATTTGTTTTAACCTGTTTTGGATTACTCGTGGAAAATCAAGCACGCGAATCGTATGTCGAGATAAGTCACGTCCACCTAATCGAGATGAATCCCACGCTTATGTTACATCATCGTCAAGGTTTCCTTTATGGAGAATCCCTTAACAGTAGGTTCACGGACGCTATCTGTATACCTGTTTCTAAGGACACCTGTCAAATTGACAGGTAAAGGAAACCACGTGCCTTTTTCTTTAACGATTAGTTTAATTTAAAAACAATTATATATTATATTAGTTACCATCGTATAATTGGAGCAACCCTTCTATCAAATGGACGGGTT